TTGGTTCAAAAAAAGAAAAACGAAAAAAACCATTGTAAACTGGATTAAACATTAAGGGACTTTATAGGCCCAGATATGTAAAACAAATTGGCATAGGACATCTTGGCCACAGACCGGTGCCAGGGTTTCTTAGGGCTCCAGCTTTGTTTCTCTGATTCCCTGCTGTGCCTTTTTGTTTGTGTGGCTATGTTTATCATAGTGGCAAGCTGGACTGTAGTACTTGTGGGAGTCCAGCAGGTATAGGATGCGAAGAACGGAAACGACCACTGTACTCCGGTCTGGGTGACAGAGTGAGACTCCAACTCAAAAAAAAAAAAAAAAAATTAAAAAAGAAACTGTAAAACTGTTTTCCAAAGGAGTAGCACAGGCCCATGCTCCCATCAGCAGTGTATGAGAGTGTCAGTTGTTTTACACGCTCACAAACATTTAATGTTCTTGGTCTTTTTTCTTTTTTTGAGTTGGAGTCTCATTCCTTTGCCTAGGCCGGAGTGCAGTGGCACACACGCTCACGGCCACCCCAGGGTCGAGCTTCTGGGCTCCAGCGATCCTTCTGCCTCAGCCTTCCGAGTAGCTGGAACTATAGACGTGTGCTACCACGCTCGGCTATTTTTAAATTTATTTTTTTATTGTAGAGACGAGGTCTTGCCAAGTTGCCCGGGTGGGTCTTGAACCCGCAGGCTCAGGCCATCCACTCGCCTCGGCTTCCCAAAGTGCTGGGATGACAAGCTGAGCCACCGAGCCTGATCTCTTGGTCTTTTTTTTGTTTGTTTAATTTTAGATTCAGGGGACACACATGCATGTTCGCTACATGGACGCATTGGGCAGTGGTGGGGGTTGGGTCCTAGGTGGTCCAGTCCCCAGATAGTGACCGTTGTGCCCTGTAGGTAGTTTCTGAACTCTCGCCCCCTTCCCCCTTATTGGCGTCCACAGTGTCTGTTATCTCCATCTTCGGACCACTTGCCCCCACATAAGAGTGAGAACAGGCAGGGTTTGGTTTTCCGTCTCTGAGTCAGTTCAATTACGATGATGACCTCCAGCTCCATCCACGTTGCTGCAGAGGACGTAATTAAATTGTTTCGTGGCTGCTCAATCTTTGGACATACACTGAGTATGTAGTGGCATCTCACTGTAGTCCAAAAAAAAAAAACTTTTAAGGCTGGGCACAGTGGCTCAAGACTGTCATCCCAGCACATTGGGAGACTGAGGCAAGAGGATTGTCTGAGCCCAGGGATTCGAGACCAGCCCGGGCAATTTGGTGAGACCTCGATTCTACAGTGAATCAAAAAATTAGCTGGATATGGTGGTACGTGCTTGTGGTTCCGGCTACTTGCAAGACTGAGGCAGAAGGATCACCGGAGCCCAGCAGGTTGAGGCTGTGGTGGCTGTGAGCATGCCACTGCACTCTAACCTGGGCAACAGAGTGAGACTCCAACTCAAAAACATAAAAATAATAAAAATAAAAATAACTTTTGAATCAAGATATAATTTACATACCATTTAATTCACCTATTTAAATCAAACAACTTAATGACTTTCAGTATATTCACAAAGTTGTGCGTTCTTCACATCAATTTTAGAATGTTTTCATTATTCCAAAAAGAAGCCCTGCATCCCTTATCCACCCCCAACATCCTCTGTCCTCCCTCTCGGCCCTGGACACCCACTAATCTACTTTCTGTCTCTATAAATTTGCCTATTAAGGGCCGGGTATGGTGGTTCAGGCTTATAATTACATTCATCGCTTTGGGAGACTGAGGCAGGAGGATTGCTTGAGCCCAGGAGTTTGATACCAGCCTGGGCAAAATAGTGAGACGTTGTTTCTACAAAAAAAAATTTTTTTAATTAGCTGGGGGCCAGGCTCAGTGGCTCAGCCTGTAATCCCAGCATTTTGGGAGGCCAAGGCGAGTGGATTGCCTAAGTCTGTGGGTTTGAGACCAGCCCGGGGCAACTTGATGAGACCTCGTCTCTGCAATAAAAAAAGAATAAATAACCAGGCGTGGTAGTGCGTGCCTATAGTTCCAGCTACTTGGAAGGCTGAGGCTGAAGGATCGCCAGAGCCCAGCAGGTCAACGCTGGGGTGGCTATGAACATGCCACTGCACTCCAGCCTGGGTGATGGAGTGAGACTCCAACTTAAAAACAAAACAAATTTTTTTAAAAATTAGCTGACTGTGATGGCCTATGCTTATAGTCCCAGCTACTCGGGAGGCTGAGACAGGAGGATTGCCTGAGCCCAGGAGGTTGAGGCTGTGGTGAGCCGTGATCACGCCACGGTTCCTTTTCTCATGCTGGACAACAGAGTGGGATCTTGACTCTAAAATAAAATAAAATAATAAAATGAAATAGACCAGGTGCAGAGGCTCATGCCTATAAACCCAGCACTTTGGAAGGCTGAGGTGAGAGGATTGTCTGACCCTGCAGGTTTGAGACCAGCCCGGGCAACTTGGTGAGACCTCATCTCTAAAATAAGTCAAAAAATTAGCCGGGCATGGTGTCCGGAGCCCAGCAGGTCGAGGCTGCGGTGACCAGGAGCGTGCCACTACCCTCCAGTCTGGGTGACAGAATGAGACTACAACTCAAAAAAATAAAAAATAAAAATGAATAATAAATAAAATAAAACAAACTTGCCTCTTCTGGACATTTCATAAAAATGGAATCAAACATGTGGTCCCTTGTGGCTGGCTTCTTTCACTTAGCGTTGTATTTTCAAGGTTCATTTTTTTTGGACTAGTTAGTAGCACTTCACCCTTTTTATTTTTGAGTCAGATTCTCCGTCTCTCGCCCAGGTTGGAGTGCAAGGGCACGCTCATGGCCACCGCTGCCTTGACCTGCTGGGCTCAGGCCAATCCTTCCGCCTCAGCCTTCCAATCTGCTGGAACCACAGGAGCACGCTCCCATGCCCAGCTAATTTTTGGTTTATCATAGAGATGAGCTCTGGCCAAGTTGCCCAGGCTGGTCTGGAACCCACGGGTGTTGGAAGCCAGCCTTGGAGGCCCACCTGACTGACAGGGTCCTGGTGGGTCAAAGACCCCAGGCTGGAGGGCGAGCCCGGGAAGCTGAGGCCCTTCTGTCTTCCACCTTTGCTGTTTGGTACGACCCAAGAATTCTGTGCAGTTGTGGAAGAAGAAAATGTCACATTTATGTGAAGTACTCGGCTAACCTGAGAATGTCATGGTTTATTTTTCCATTTCCCACTATGCCGTTTGGTATTTTCTAACAAAAGCAATGGTTAAACTCTGAAGCACATAAAAAATGCTTTCTTTCACTTGGTTATAAGTTACTAGATGTTGCTTGGGTAAAAATGATACAAGTATATTCACTCCTTATTTGATTTAGAATTATGTAGTTTAGTGCTTAGACATAAGGTTTTTTAGAAGCACAAGTTTATAGTAAGTTCATTATGAATTCATTATAAGTTCTAACACTTATCTAGGAGTTATGTAGGTGATTTATAACACTGTTTTCACAGATTTAGGATGAAGATTAATTGTTAAGGTTTTTACTTAATTCAATAGTTAAAATACTAAGTTAATGTTTAGAGTGGGTTTTCACTGAATTCATAATATACTAATTGGATACTTTTATGATATATTAACTAAATACAGAAAGCAGCCTTGGGGGCCTGGGAAACATCACTAAAGGCTTCTTTTGAGTTTTCTTTAGAAATAAACACTGCAGGATAAGAGAAAAGCAACGAAGACACCTGGACAAGAGAGGTGATTACGAAGTTTTGAAGGTCATAGAAGCCCCAGAGAGAAAAACTCCTGACACACGGAGAAATGTGCACTTGGAAACTTTCTTGAGACATTTCAAGGACTGTAATTCGGAACTTTGAACTAAAACTATCATTTTTGGCTTTATGATAAAGACTCATTAACTAAAAGTAGATAGTGTTCTTGGCTTGTTTGTTGCTTCTAGACCGCTAGATGGTGGTAACTTTTAAAGCATATGTACGTGAAGGAATTTTCTTTGTCTTGCCCCTTTACGAATGGTAAAAAAGCTCTGAGTTAACTAACATTCAATTGTCATCTGTTCTGCAGGCATCTGGCCTGCAAGCAGGTGTCCAAAATGCATTCTTTCGCCTAGTCCATCACTCCTTCAGGAAACCCCAGACCCAGCAGGGGCGGGACCCCTGCACACGGGCTGAGACAATCCTCTCACCTCAGCCTCCCAAAGTGCTGGGATGATAGGCATGAGCCACCACGCCCATCTCACCCTTTTTTAATGGCCAAACAATATTCCATTGTGGGGATATACCACACCTTATTTACCACCAGTCAGTCAATGGGCACGTGGGCTGTTTCCACTTTTTGGCTATTATCCATTTGACTATTACGAATAACACTCCTAGGGATATGCAATTTGTGTGTGGACGTCTTCATTTCCCTTAGGTATACGTTTAGGGGTGGAACTGCTGGGTCATGAGTCATATTTTGACAGGCAGAGCTGAGGCAAAGAAAAACTTGAGAAGATGGAGCCTGTTTAGAAATAAGCAAGCCGGGCTCAGTGGCTCAGCCTATAATCCCACGCTTTGGGAGGCCGAGATGAGAGGATTGCCTGAGCCTGCAGGTTCGAGACCCACCTGGGCAACTTGGCGAGACCTCATCTCTACAATAAATCAGAAATCAGCCGGGCGTGGTAGCGTGCGCCTGTAGTTCCAGCTACTTGGAAGGCTGAGGAGGAAGGATTGCCGGAGCTCAGCAGTCGAGGCTGCGGTGGCCAGGAACAGCCACTGCACTCCAGTCTGGGCAACAGAGTGAGACTCCAACTCAACAACAAAAAAAGAAAAGAAAGAAAGAAAGAAAGAAGCAAGCGTGCGGGGTTTTAAAAGGGTTCTATTTTATTTAGAATTGGGAAGTGGGAATTAAGGCTGGGAAGGATATCCACAGTGAAGTCATGGGGCAGTCTGGATGGAAACAAAATAACAGTTGTGACTTAATATTTGCAACAGTCTTGCAAAACAATTACTATTATCCCTATTTTACAGATGAGAACGTTGAAGTTCACATGTTGAAGAAAGTAAATTGTTCAAGGTTAGCCGTTATCTTGGTAAATTTCAGAATCAAGATCTCAGCCTACTGCTTCTTTTTCTCTTCCGTAATACTGTCTTACATTGTTGAGATCACAGAGACATACAAGCGTGCGTCCTACTTGTGAACGTCATTATAGCATGAACATTTCCCTGTCCTTAGAAAGGCTTCTTAAAGCGGCCGGGCGTGATAGCTCAAGTGTGTAATCCCAGCACTCTGGGAGGGCCGAGGTGAGAGGATTGCCTGAGCTCAGGGGTTCGAGACCAGCCTGGGCAACTTGGTGAGACCTTGTCTCTACAACAAATCACAAAACAAAACTAGCTGGGCGTGGAAGCATCCACCTGTGGAGTTCCAGCTACTTGGAAGCCTGAGGCGGAAGGATTGCCGGCGCCCAGCAGGTCGAGGCTATGGCAGCTATGAGCGTGCCCCTGCACTCCAACCTGGGTGACAAGTATGAGACTCCAACTCAAAAAAAAAAAAGCGTTCTTAAGCAATATTTTTATCGGTTGGTGCTGGCTGCAAGATACAGTATATATATATATGAATATATGTTGCAAAATACTTATGGAATATATATGACAAGATGTATCATAGCTTAAAGTTTTGTGATACTATGTTTTATAGCATTATTTTTAAAAATGTAAATATTTAAAATTGTGGTGAATATATATTTGTGAAAAGTTATTCTCGTATCAGCTGTTTAAAGAATGCTTATTTGGCCGGGTGCAGAGGCTCATGCTTGTCATACCAGCATCTTGGGAGGCTGAGGCAACAGGATTGCTTAAGCTCAAGAGTTCAGCTGGGTGTGATGGCTCACACCTGCAATCCCAGCACTTTGGAAGGCCAAGGTGAGAGGATTGCCTGAGTCCAGGGTTTTGAGACCAGACCAGGCAACATGGTGAGACCTCATCTCTACAATAAATCAAAAAATTAGCTGGGTGTGGTGGTGCATGCCTGTGGTTCCAGCTACTTGGAAGGCTGAGGCAGAAGGATCATCTGACCCCGGAAGGACTGCCAGAGCCCAGCAGGTCGAGGCTGTGGCGGCTATGAGCATGCCCCTGCCCTCTGACTCAAAAAAAAAGTTCAGGTGTTCAAGGCTAACCCTGGGCAACATAGTGAGTAGTCAGACCCTGTCTCTGAAAAAACAAAACAACAACTCAAAAAATAAGCTGGGCATGGTGACATGCACCTGTAGTCCCAGCTACTTGGGAGGCTGAGTTGGGAAGATTGCCTGAGTCCAGGAAGTCAAGGCTGTTGTGGCCGTGAGCATGCCACTGCGCTCCAGCCTGGGTGTCAGAGTGAGACTTGGACTCAAACAAGACAAAACAAAACACTTATTTTGGCCAGTTGCCACCTGTCATCCCAGCACTTTGGGAGGCCAAGGATTGCCTGAGGTCAGGAGTTCAACATCAGCCTGGACAACACAGTGAGAAACCTCCCATCTCTGTTTCAAAACAAAAACAAAAACAAAAGTGAAATTCTCTTCTGGCTCCATGGTGTCACCTGGCCATCTGCTATGTAGGATAAGGGGACCTCAGGATTTCCAGGGTCATGTACCAAGACATCCAGAGAAATGCAGAAAAACCAAAGACCTTTTCCCAAGTATCCTGGGTATGAGCAGTTCTCTTCCTGAGTACCAGATCCAGGAACACTCGAAAAGGACTGAATTAATAGGGACTTCCTGCAATTGACCCCATATTAACTCATATTTTATTTATTTATGTATGTATTGAATAGGAGTCTCACTCTGTTGCCCAGGCTGGAATGCAGTGGCACACTCATGGCTCACCGCAGCCTTGGCCTCCTGGGCCCACGCAATTCTTCCGCCTCAGCCTCCCGAGTGGCTGGGACTACAAACGTGTGCCACCTCACCCATCAGAGTCTCACTATCACCCAGGCTGGAGTGCAGAGGCACGCTCACGGCCACCGCAGCCTCGACCTGCTGGGCTCATGTGACCCTCCAAGTAGCTAGAGGCTACTTGGCGTGTGCCACCATGCCCGGCTAATTTTTTGATTTAGTGTAGAGATGAGGTCTCCCCAAGTTGCCCAGACTGGTCTCGAACCTGTGGGCTCAGGCAATCCTCTCACCTCAGCTTCCCAAAGTGCAGAGATTACAGGCATGAGCCACCACGTCCAGCCTCCGGCTTTTTTTTTTTTTTTTTTAATGCTTTGTAAAGACGAGAGGTCTTGTTATGTGGGTGAGGCTGGTCTTGAATTCCTGGGCTCAGGCAATCCTCCCACCTCAGCCTCCCAAAATGTTGGGATGATAGGCATGAACCACCGTACCTGGCCAACACCTTATTAACTCAAGATGGCTAAGAGGTGCCTGTACTCCCGTGCTCTCTTGAGTTAAATAATCGAAATGAAATATAAAAACTGCCAGGGGACTTTGTGACCCTTTCCATGGAGGAAAATTCAACGCTCCAGCCTTCATCTCCCAAACAGCCTCTGTACTTTTCTCTCACGCTGTAATGTCTGTCCGTGAGGTCAGGCAGCCTTGTTTTGTGAGCAGCAGTGAGGCACTGAGAGCTTTAAAGCAGCAGGTGGCACCATGTGACATGTGCAGGGGAACCAGTTCACCGTTCTCTTGCAGTTATCAACAGTGGGGTGGGGCCTGGCATGTGGCTCACGCCTGAAAACTCCGCACTTTGGGAGGTTGAGCCGGGAGGATCGCTTGAGCCCAGGAGTTTGAGATAAGCTGGGCAATATAGCAAAACCTCGTCTCTACAAAAAAAAAAAAAAAAAAGAAATCCAAAAATTAGCTGGGCATGGTGGCACATGCCTGTCGTCCCAGCTACTTGGGAGGCTGAGGTGGGAGGATCTCTTGATTCCAGGAAGTCGAGGTTGCGGTGAGCCATGATTGTGCCACTGTACTCCAGCCTGGGTGAAAGAGTGAGACCCCAACTCAAAAAAAAAAAAAAAAATCACAGTTAGAGGAGCTTTGACCATTTCTCCCTGAAACTCTCTCTCTGGAATCCAGACCTTCCCTGAACTCCCAAATCTCTCCCCACAGTCTACATTCTGTCTTTAGAGAAACACAATCTTCCCATTCTCCATTTTTTCATGACGGGCCTCCCAGAGAAAGCTCTGGCAGAAAATGACATGGCATCAGCGCACAGTCATAATGCCAGCACCAAGTAAAAACAGCAGCAGGCACACCTCCAGAGTCTAAGTTGAAGGGCAGTGTCCAGGAAATCCTGATTCTTCAGATGTTTCCCTGCGGAAGTCCAGGGCATGGAAGGAACAAGGATCAAATATAGTAAGTGGGCAGGCACGGTGGCTCACGCCTATAATTCCAGCACTTTGGGAGGCTGAGGTGAGAGGACTGCCTGAGCCCACGGGTGAGACCAGCCTGGGCAGCACAGGGAGACCTCATCTCTACAATAAATTTTTTAAAAAATTAACCGGGCGTGGTGGCTCATGCCTGCAATTCCAGCTACTTGGAAGGCTGAGGTGGAAGGATTGCCTGAGCCCAGCAGCTCGAGGCTGCGGTGGCCATGAGTGTGTCCCTGCTTTCCAGCCTGGGCAACAGAGTGAGACTCCAACTCAAATATATATATATATATTTGATAACATTTTTTTTTGAGTTGGAGTCTCACTCCGTCGCCCAGACTGGAATGCAGTGGCCGCTCCCGGCCACCGCAGCCTCGACCTGCTGGGCTCCGGCGATCCCTCCACCTCAGCCTTCCAAGTAGCCGGAATTACAGGCACGTGCTACCACGCCTGGCTGATATTTTGATTTATTGTAGAGATGAGGTCTTGCCAAGTTGCCCAGGCAGGTCTCGAGATAAAATTTTTTAAAATAGGGAATTCTTATTTAATAAACTCTACTTAACTAACCTAGGTGTTTTCAGAGATCAGAGCTATCACAAAGGAAGAGAATTAATCAATTTAATTTTTAATATACATATTGAGCGGGAGAGAAAGGAAGCCAGTCTCAATGGGCAAGCCACCTTCAGCCACACTTAATGGTATGTCCCCAAAGGAATGTGGAATCTTCTTCCTTAAAAAGTGCAATAGACTGAAGGCTTATGCTCTCCTAAGATTCATATGTTGAAACCTAATCTCTCTCTCTCTCTTTTAAAATTATTTTTAGACACGGGGTCTTGCTCTGTTGCCCAAGCTGGTCTTCAACTCCTGGCCTCAAGCAATCCCCTTGCCTCTGTCTCCCAAAGTGCTGGGATTATACGCACCAAGCCGGGCCCAGCCCTGATGTGATGATACTTGGAAGAGGGTTCCTTAGGAGGAGACTGGATCATGAGGGCAGAGCTAATCTCACGAGTGAGATGAATGTCCTAACAAGAGACCCCCGCCCCCTGCCCCCATGTGACGTTTACTGAGCAGACGGCCGCCCAAGAACCAGGCTGCGGGCCCTCGCCAAGTCGGCCAGCGCTTTGGTCTAGGACTTCCCGGCCTCCAGAACGGCGAGGAACACACTTCGGCTGTAAAAGCCACCCCGAATACGGCAGTTTGTTACAGCAGCCCAGAGGGACCGGGGTAGAGTCAGCTCTGCAGCGGGTGATGAAATGAAGCAACTTCGACGCCGCAGAGAGCCCCTGAAGCAAAGCAGCAGCGGTGTGGGGTCCCTCCTGGGCCCTGCCTGCAAAAGCTGGCCGCAGCCGAAGACATCTAGTCCGGCCAGAACTTTCACACGGGAGAAGGGAGCCAGGTGGGGAGAGAGGCACCTGGTCACTGCCCCGGGGGATTGGGCTGACCCACCACCAGGGCCCAGCAAGTCCGGCAGTCCCAGAGACCCGTGTCTCCTGGGCAGCCAGCAGCGGGCCCAGAACTCCTGCCTCTTCCCAGAAAGGGTCCTGGGGCAGCGTGTGTGGGCTCAAAGGAGACTGGCTGGATATGTGACCTGCCCAGCTCTGGGCTGCTGGGGGAGGATTGTCTGAGGCCAGGAGTGTGAGGCCAGCCTGGCATCATAGGGAGATCCTGTCTCTACAAAAAAAATATAAATAAATAAATAAATAATAGGCTGGGTGTGGTGGCTCGCGCCTGTAATCCCAGCTCTTTGGGAGGCCGAGGAGGGAGAATCACTTGAGGCTAGGAGTTAGAGACCAGCCTGGGCCACAAAGGGAGATCCTGTCTCTACCAAAAAAAAAAAAGGCAAATAAATTAACAAATAATAGGCTGGGCGCAGATGCCCACGCCAGTAAGCCCAGCACTTTGAAAGCTGAGGCGGGAGGATCGCTGGAGCCCAGGAGTTCGAGCCCACCGTGGGCAACAAAGCGAGACCCTGTCTCTACGAAAAAACTGAACATACGTAAATGCCACGTTCTCGGGAGGTGGCTTGCGCCACGCGCCGGGGCTTCCTGCCTGTTTCCAGGAAGAAGGCTCGCAGTGCCCCTCGGACCCCGAAGACCCCCGGAGCGCCCGGAGCCGGACGCCCCCCCGGGCCGGCCCGGCCGCAGGCTCAGCGCCGCGCGCGGG